CTGAAAGTAGGTGTATTTGACTTATGTTATTGCTAGGACAACGTTGTTAAATATGTTCTATGACTTCCTTGACAGGGTTTYAAGAATCACTGCGGCTGCGCGGACGGTTTGGTTTGTGAGGTGGAACAAGAGGTTCGTATGATGTCGCTRGGCATTGATCTMAAAGTACAACAWTGCAAGAAACCTTAAGAAACGGAAAAACTTTATCATAAACACAGCAGCATGACGTTTGCCTTGGTCTTGATTATCTTTCACTCAGTTTTACTATACTAGAAACTATGTCAATATTCTGCAGTATCTAGAAAATTATAAATGGTGAATATGACGTTATTAAATGAAAAATATAATTCTAAACAAAAGTCTATGGTGTATCGCTTAGCTTTGTAGCTCTTATATGGACTTCACAAAAAATATCATTATTACTGTGCATCTAAATAAACAACATACAAGCACATGTAGTCACACACGAGAAGCACGCAAACAAGACACAATCACACCAAAGAAAACCACAAAACGAMACCTCTACAAGTGACGCATCATGAAAAGCGGCTCAATGCAGTTTTGTTAYTGTAAGAAAACATTTTTCTCAGTTCAGCGATCTGTTTTTTAGTCGTGTGTCTTTGTAGTTCCATTTCCTTCATGATTTCGTTGCTTGATTTCTTGATATCCCTTCGAATACCGTCAATAAAGTGTTGAATATCGCCATCTATTGTCTTAATTTCATCAAATGCTCTTTTCCTTACTGTATCATAATCCTTTAGCTTTTTTTCTCGTTGTTTTGCCGCACGYCGAAGATCTGAATGAGCAGGAAAGTCATAACGATGATGATGGTAGCTGTTTCGATCAATAGCAGGCTGAAAGAAAGCAGAAATGTTTCCTTCTTTCTTAATTTTCTGTTTTCGCCAAAAAGCTGTTTCTTTGGGAGTCTGTGGAAGCTGGATTCGCTCAACTTGTTTTAAAAGATATTTCGGCTTTCTCTTGACTTTAGGAGCTTCAAGTTTCTTCGTCTTTGTTGAGATATGTAAACTTTCAAAGAACAAATGAGATGGTACAGCTGTTTCAGACGCAACAGGTATCTTAGGAACGATAATTTTTCTCCTAGGTATTGGAATTAAAACATTTTCGTTTTTCCTTGCTTGYAAAAGCTTGTTTTCGAGAATGCGGTCATTTCTTTGTACCTTCTTTCTAGGTAATTTTCGTTTTTCGTTGATAGTTTCATCGAATTCATCATTCGAGTTCTTCATTAGTTGAAATGTGCCGTAATGAAATCTCCAGTCTTTCAGTTATTCGTTCACTAAACTTTTTTACGCATYAATGAAAAGATATTTYATAGGAAATCAGTTGTGGTTAACTCACTTTATGGTTTGTTTCTAACAACAAACTCTCTACAAAGATTCACACTTGATCTAACGATACTCACTAAAGTAATTYCTTTTTAAACAAGCTTAATTAACGGTATTTTACACTCTCTAATGGCCGAGGGGATTATRTAATTGCTGCATTCAGTTATGGTGAATCGATAATCAAAGGTTTTCTAACCTTTGCATACAATGTAATTTGTTAAATGTTAACGGAAAGAAACTTTTAAGGGAATGAAAYAAGAAAGACAAAATAAATGCGTAGAAATGTGTTATTATAAATCACAGCTATGMCTGGGTATATATTGTTCATTCAGCTTTATTTACGATACTTTACACCGACCACTAATTACTCTATTATACAACTAATTTTACATGTTTGATTCCAAGGCTAAACGTTCCCATTCTCGACTTCTTTTGACTTGTTCAGAGGAGTACATGAGTAGAAGTCTACTGTTAAACAAGGYACCCCTTTTGGACGAACTTCTTGCTCCTCTTAACGAGTGAATATGACCTTGGAATGAGCTGTTAAACGACATGCGCAGTGAATATAATGAGAGCTTTCGTCTGTGTGATCTATCAGATCGCTTGAACAGCGCTTTGAATGAGGTGCACTGTGTCTGTAAAGTGCCAAAGATGAATGGATTTACACAGCTATTGAAGTAGACCAGGATGTTTGCRAAAACGAGCAGATTTGTAAAGTTTGACGATTCGGAGCCGCTCCCAAAATCATGCCACACCCACATCACGTGAGTCGGTAGGAAGCACACTGCAAACGCGCACACGGCCACAATAAAGATCTTAACAATCCTAAGATTGCGGTGTGCTCTGCTCTTCAGCATGCGGTTTCCAGCTGTTTTGTTCTCCGTTGCGAATATTCCTTTCATTCTGTTAATGTCCCGATAGAGTTTCGCACCAACTAAACTATATGCCACAGTTATGATGGATAAAGGACATAGATAGAGAACTATAAATACAGACATGGTGTAAGCCTGTACGAAGGTGTTATCTGAAGGCCACTTTTCTATACAGTTTTGACCATCATGTGATAATACAYATACGTACGGCAAGACAAGGATAATACTTCCTGCCCACATCCCTGCGATAATAGAACGTGATTTATGGACCTTAATACGAGGTTTAAAAGGGTGCATTATCACTCTATAACGCTCAAGGCTCATGGCCAATAGTGTTGATACTGAAACTGACATTAAGATAGTCTGGAAGGGATAGATTATTTTACATAACACAGTTCCATATGGCCAATAGCCTAGTATTCTCTCAACGACATCTAATGGTATGCTAATCGTACAAACGGCTAAATCAGTAACGGATAGATTAAAGATAAAGTATTCACTAATCTTGTGCTGACGTCTTCGTAATATTGCTATGCATATGAGAATGTTGCCGGTTGCCCCTATGCAAGTTATCATACAGTAAAAAAACATTTGAACAATAAKGACATTCTGGTTGCTCGTAACGATGCTTGAGTTTGAAGTTTGATTCATCTTGGATTCTTATTCATCAAGTTTTTTTTCCTTTCTTTTTGACTTCATTAAATGTTGGAATATAGCGTCCATCTGCGTTGATCTACCCAATTTCTCTCGAGAACACAAACCACCGATGAAGTAGTGTTTAGAAGTAGTGTCACACTCTGTTTTTTTTAGGTTATTTTAGATGCTGCACGTACCACATGCACTTAGAACGCTACKATCTTCTATTATTTTCAAGTCGCCTTTCAGTGTTCTGTTCAGCTACAATATGAGGTGCACGTAGCTATTTGTTATTTTAGCAAGATATCTTGAACAGATCTTGTCAAAATCGGCCTCACTTGCTGACGAAATTCTGCCTCTATATCAAGAAATCCTGGTTAGGACGCTGCGTCACACGTTGGCACTAACTTACTCTGATCAGCTACAGAGGCTGAGAATCATATCTCTTTTAAGGTTCTAAATGTCGCTTTTTAATCCAAGRCTTATGCACGACGTCACTATTACGTTTTAATCTGTTTGTTTCGATGTTTCTTTTCCTCGGCACTAATTTTTAATTTCCTTCTGGTGGCCTATCATATCCTTCTTGGCTTTTGGCGGTTTTACACTGATCTAATGAAGCAAGATCGGACTATTGATTAATGATATTATTCCTTCAATTTTCATTACTAAAAATTCGTTTAAATTGTTTAAATTTAATCTTATAACATGAACAAATACTGAAAAAGAGGAATCGAGTTTTATAATGATTAATCTAATTTGCAACAAGTGAAACAAGATTTATTAAGACCTTAACTTTTTAATTTTCCAAATCAAATGTCAAACAAGGATTAAGGGAACGTTGCTTTGGCAATAATGTTTATACAAAACTTGAGATAATTTCCAAGCGGGCCAAATCGTATTATATGCTGTTGTCCGCCGGCAAAAATTGAACAACACATAGACATTGCATGACAGCTGGAAATATGATAGCTCCTAGAATTACCGAGATTGAGAAGTTTCGCGAAAACCCACTAACAAAAAAGCATCAGCCATAAAAAGCACCTATTTTGCCTTTATCCAACTACAGTTGACTCTCTTTGAACGACCACTCTCGTTAGCGACCATATCCCGTATGCGACCACCTTTTAAATTTCCCTTTTTTCCATATAAACTCTGTAAAAAAAACTCTCCCGTAAGCGACCACTTTTCCTGATCCCGAGGTAGTCGCTTACGAGAGAGTTGACTGTATTTCACTATTTTTTCTTCCTTARTTTCAACGCTTTTCAATGGAATAACTCTAAATATTAATCCAGCAATTCTGATTATGATACAACAATTACGCAAACTACGTACGGCACAAGCCAGAATTTCTATTGACACAAGTGAATAGAAATGAATCGAAAGAAAAACGAGCTTCCTATCAAATATTTTAGCATTCTATATGCGAATTATGGCACTTACCATTTACTTATTCATTAAATGATGTTCTGCATGTACAATAAATAACTCAGAACACAATAAATCACTTTTAAACCCAATTCAATAAAACGTTGTTGATCGGAAGAGTTTTTGAGAAGATTTTCTACTGATTGTCGTATTTTCTTCTGGATATATACTATTTCATTATCAAGTTATATTGGTTGATCTAAAATCACTCCCTAATCTCTCGTTAGAAGCACGGAAGTTAGGCATACTCAGAGTAATAAGWTGTTTTTTTCGCTCGAAATAACTCAAAGCAACAAACAAACGTGCTTCCAGTGGTATCACTAGTATCGTTTGTGACAAAAAGCCCGCTGCTTTCACATGCAAAAGAAAAAAAAAAGTCCAGCCTGTGTCTTTATACACGTCTTTTAGTTCCATTTCGCCGCCAATTATCACAGTCGGTGATTGTGACGTCACATGTTATGAAACACAGTTTGAAGGTGTGTGAGGCCTGAAGATATTTGTAGATGCCTTCAAAAGATTTTTTGGGTTTAGTAAGAAAACACCCTGTCAGATCTTTAATTTGTTAGCTTATTTATGATATATAGACCGGTTATGGGTGCTCCCTTAATAAAGTTGTAGTGATCTGGACGAAGGGATTTGAGCCTTCAAGGTAAACATTAGTTATCTGAGATGACAATCTTATGTTACAACTACATCATCCCATTACATTCTTTTAAAATAAACGTGTTAACCAATGCACATCTATTTTCCGTCTTTTAAAAGCAAGAAATTTTACTCGACTTCATGACTGCCTCCTTGATTCCTTATTATGAAGAATATCCTTGAATATCCACCTGTGTGTGACCTGCTGTTCATGCAATYAATATTTGTTATTCCTATTTTGACCGTACGGCCTTGGCATACGCTAGGAACCGTCCAGAAACCCTAGAAAGGTACCCATGAGCGAATCACATTTAATTCAATTCATGCACTTCTACCGATCTAATATGACATAAGTGTCGGATCACTGGGACCGCGTTATTATGTGGTATTCAGTTTATAACGTTAGGACAATGCTACTGGCATGTACTTTATTTAGGTTCAACAATCCAAAATATACACGCATTATCATAACTAGGATTATGCTGTAAATATGGACCGTGATTGGAATACTCATAAAACGCACCAAAGCCTGCCTATTTGTTCACTTTCCCGGTACCGCAACACCTAGCAGTGTCTTTTGAATGAATTCAGTTAGGAAAGCTCTTCGAGCATGAAATGTCGTAGACAATTTTAATTGTTTAAAATTTAATTTAATTTTTTTTAATTTAATTAATTAATTTTTTTCATTTTTTGCTTTAAAAAAAGCAATAATAGCATTTTCTAGTACTGGCTCCAAATATGGCATACTATGTTCTACTACACACTTTTTATGATACGTATATTCCTTATAAAGCATTCAATCGATATTCCCTTGTATTCTCTCGCACTCTCTCTTTCTCTCTGTCCATAATCATAGTCCGATATCAGCCATGTACGATCAGACTGAGCARAATAATTGTTTCATTAATATATTATCATCCAATAACTTTGAACAATAGACACTTTGTTGTCGAGTAACTCTTGAATTTGGAGGACGAGTTTGCTAATTTCTATCGGCGAAAACATAATAAATATATGATTGAGTGAAGTGGTTTGCGGAAGCGTCGTTCCTGCTTGAAGGAATAAAAAAAAGAAAAATGATTGAAAACAGGTGCTTTTCAACAATGATGGACCACTGTTAGTCTACACACTCTGATTTCTAGGAAAATCAGCAAGAATATGAGTTATATAAAAAAGCTCTATTCTCAGCCATATAATCTATATACAAACATTATTATTTTTTTGGTTTTATTACAGCCAATCCCATAAACGTTGTTCAGTTGTAAATACAACAACAAAGTCATTTGCATATATCATATTTTTAATTTCTTTGAAAAAAAAAAAAAACAAAAAACAAACAAACAAACAAAAAATAAACAAAAACAACAACAACAACAACAACAACAAAAATTCAACACAAAGCTCCAAAAAAAAACTTCTTTGCAATGTCATAACACTTAAGTCGCTATTTATCTAAAGATAATTACAATTCTTCCTGCGAATATCAAAAACCTTTTAATGCAAATGACCATTGTCTTTGCCTTTTTACGAGTGACTCTAGTATGTTAGAAACCCATGTAAACARCATCTAACGAAGAACAATACTTGAAATTTTCTCAGTCAATATTTCGAACACCGAACTTGCCACGTTTTTGAAATATTGCACGAGACCACGTTAATCAAAGTCCTTGCCGAATTCACGCACCTAAAACGTACCATCGATCAGTAGTTTATAATGTGCCAGAAATGGCATTCAGCTAAAAAAAGAGACTGTTTCTTGAAAGGACGACATGAGCAAATCTTAGATTGCGGGCCCACAATTCAGATCTCAGATCATCGACTACAGTGGATCCACTACAGTTCTGTAGGGGTGAACCATAAGAAAAGCGACCTTGTTTTTTTTGAAATTGCATAAAGGTATAGTTACATGTAATAATACCAAAATTAAGATATCCAAAATGAGCAATGTATAAACAAATACTATATTTAGCAATTGTTTAATATTTGATTGTGATAAGAGTTAAGTTACCATTTTACWACTCCACGTGACGTCAACATGACGTGCATCTTTTCAATSACGCTAAATAGTTTTTAARCGGGTCAAATTTTCAGTAAGTTAAATTGCACGTCTTTCTTTGCATAAKCAGATGGTTAAGAGATAGTAAGCCATACCTAATGGGGTAGTTATCTATAGTCCGTGATGTGCTTTATTGATTGATATCACWGACTACCTTGTTCGTGCACTTATAGCAAAACAAAATACTGATTCAGGGAGTGCAAATTAAGCTAATCATGTTTGTGACAGGTCGAGGTGCTTGCTTAAAAAAGGTTCCTTACGATTGCTCTGCTAAACTATTTACTTTCTTAAATAAGTCCACATAATGGCAGCAGCATTTCTTTACTTGTGATTCACTCGAATTCATTTTTAAAACCAAGAAATATTTGGCCACAAAAATTTAATACGACCCGTACAATAAGTAGTCATAGTTCTTGACATTGCAGTTTGCCTTGCGTGACGGATAATATATGTTAATCAATAAGTCAATGTTTCCGTCATGTGACTTTATGAACAGTCGATTTTTTGTGTCAGGGAGATTCACTATTACAAGATTAATCCCAACCAATCGATCAACGAAAAAAGAATATATGTGTACGTTATGCTGTTGATGCCAAGGTTTACGTTATCTCATCGAGTATCGTTGCGTTTAGTTCAAGCTCACCGTACTCAGTCAACCGTTCGACTTAAAAACATCACAAACAACTCCTCAGAAAGTTATGCTCGTCCTATGAAAGACATGCCAGGACCTAAAGGACCACCGTACATTGGTTCAATCCATCGGTACATAATGGCAGGAGGGTTGAAGAATATGCACAAAGTCCAGCAGAAGTTGTTTGAAGAATTTGGACCAATATTCAAAGAAACATTATTCGGTCGAACGATGGTCCATGTTCTTGATCCTGACGCAACAGCGAAGGTGTTTCGTTCAGAAGGAAAATATCCTGTGAGGATAGGAATTGAGCCATGGACAAAGGTGTTCAACGAGCAAGGGCTTCATTCCATTGGTACCAGGTTAAAAATTCATTTTTTTGTCTTTTATTAATCAGTACTGATTAATCCGGGCAGTAATCGAAAGCTCACAAGGTTCATTCAGTTGCTTGAGTGCTCCTCATCCATCTTACATTTTGAATATTATAAAAACATCATCAAATAAATGCCATTGCAACTTTTTAGCATNATCGTGACGTAATAACACAGGTAGTCCGCATTATCTAAGAGCGCGCGCCGATAACATATACACAATAAAATCGTGCGCAATCGTTCTTTTCTGTCTCTAAAGCAATAGTTGGGTAGCCTATGGTATTTGGGAGTCCTTTACCCGAAGGCTGGTACTGAATATAAAGAAATGTGAAGAAACAAGATTTACAAGTTACGTGCAGGTTGTTCTCTTCGTTCCCGACGTCGATGCTTATGGTAATATTTAAGGACGGAGGATGATGATACACTCAATTTTGTTATAGCGATGGACCTGAGTGGAAACACCTCAGGAAAGCAGTACAGTCTAAAATGATGAGACCAAAGGAGCTGCACGACAACATCTGGAATTTCAATCGTGTTGTCGATGATGCACTTGAAAGCATACGTTGTGCAAGGGGTCGAGATACTTCCGAGGGAGAAGTTGCTACTTTATCAGATGAATTASAGAAATGGTCTATGGAGTGTGAGTACATGAGACATCCTGATCTTATGAGCATCGCCAAAACTTGGCAAACGATCCCTATTTCACACAGACCTAGGGACCAGACTCCATTTGAATAGGAAACCCGACAATAACTGATTTACAGTAGAAATCTGTCTGGTACAGGGTTTATAATCTAGCCTCTTCCACAGTCCCCTGCTCGGTTTATTAAGTCTTCACGCTGTAAGACGATCAGTGCTAAATAGCCTTAATAGTATGGATATTATGGGTTATCAGTGTATGTTATTTCATTTCAGCTGTTGGCGTCTTAGTGTTTGATGGCAAGATAGGGCTTTACGAAGATCCTCCAAGGGAAGGAGCTTTAGAGAGTATACAAGCTGTTAAAGACATATTTACCTCCATGAACAACCTTGAATTTGGCCCTGAAAACATGTTTTACAGAAAGTTTGATACACCTTCACTGAAAACGTTACGCAAAAGCTTAAAATTTTCCAGAGATTTCGCGAAGAAGTACGTGGAGGCTAAATTGGATGAATTGAGGGAAGATTTAAAGAATCCAGAAAAATTGACTCATGGGGAAGGTAAGGTGAACTCGGTTTGGCAATATTTTAGTTAATTCCTATCCAATAGTAGTCTGGCATCATAGTTAGTTAAGTCATAGTTAAGTCATAGGTTTAGTTTTATCTTTTCAAAAGTCTTGTCACCATTAAATTCTTTATAATTGTGTTCTGACAAACAGGGGTACCTTTGCTTAGCTTTTTGTTGGCTAAAGGAGAGATTTCCTTAGACGAAATTGCGGACTCTTGCGTGGACATGTTTCTAGGCGGGGTTGATACGGTACGATATCATACACAATAATGATATGTACATGGCATTTGCGGTTATGTACATGGCATTTGCGGTTACCGCTTATCTTATTTTTTGCTCTTACTTTATAGACATCTATTATATTGACGGGCGCACTGTATAGATTAGCCACAAATCAAGATATCCAGGAACGCCTTCGTCATGAAATTGAAACAGTAACTGGTAAAGATGGTGAGCTAACTTCTCAAGACATGGGGAGGATCCCTTACATGAAGGCATATATCAAAGAAGTGTTGAGGTAAACCAGAAGTATCAAATATTGTCGTGGTTATTTGAGAAATAGCATCCAAATAAATTCCAATAACGTAACGGGCAAATGGTTTTCAAACGTTCTTTCTTAGAGGAATGTACTCAATCTAAGGTTCTCATGGTTCAAAAACACTTCCTTTGTCTTTTTGGTAAAAAAAAAAACAACACACAACAGAACAATGCAAAGCGGTCCTTTATATTTGCTTAATCTTAGGCTGGATGGTATTGCGGTGTCTGTACCTAGAGTTCTCGACCAAGACATTGTTCTATGCGGGTATAATGTTGAAGCTGAGGTAAGAATAACAAAGCACTAAGCTGATCATAAATCTGAGGTGATGCTGACGTGAAGTTTCCTTCTCTCTTTGTTAGACTCCAATCATGCTAAACAACTACACAGCTGCTCGGTCAGAGACTTATTTTAAAGATGCTGAAACATTCAAACCAGAACGGTGGCTGAGAGATCATGGCGAGGATATCCACCCATTTTCTTCTCTACCATTTGGCTTTGGTCCCCGGACATGTATAGGTAATTTAATGCATTTAATAATGTTGGTAATGAAAAACACAATTATTTGCTTCTGTATTTCATATCCTATTCACATATTTCTTGATCAGGGAAACGTACTGCTGAACTGGAGGTGATGCTATTCTTGTCAAAGGTACTTCAATCAAAATGAAATTATTGATAATGTTGATAGTCTATACAGATCCCAGTAGTTTGAAAGGCCTCACCCACACAATCCATACACATTTCATTGCAAATTTCCCAGTACAAATGTTTACCAAAATATACTGGATTTTTCCTTGAATGTGTGCAGACAGGGTACACTCATGCATAAAGAGAACTCATAAAAGCAATTATAAAATTTTTGACATATAACGCGCGCTCTGATTGGCTGACAACCGTGTTTATATCAGAGGACAGAGACACAGCTTACCAGTAAAATTTGTCCTTTATGAAAAAAATTATAAAAGAACTATAAAACAGCTGCTTGTGTTTCTGTCCTCTGATATAAACACGCTGGGAAATCCAAAACACTAGAGAAGCAAGCTTAGGAACACGAGCGTAGCGAGTGTTTCTCTTGCTGACAGAGACAAGCACGCAGTTTTATATTTCTTAAACAGATGAAGACCGATTCTCATTCTAAGAGAATAATATAACTGCACATCAATTTTTTCTGTTCAGCCTTGTAGTGAAATAGTCTCAATGGTATGCAACTAAAACTAACAAAATTACTCTGCAATTTTGAAAGGTCGTTAAGAGATTCAAGTTGGAATACAATCACAAGCCTTTAGAGAAAGTACAGGTGTTATTTCTCCGTCCAGAAGAGAAGAATGTCAAAATTAATTTCATAGATAGAGATTAATACCACATCACAATTACAATATCTAAATCTTCACAAACAATTACACAGCCAATCAGTCAGAGACTTATTTATAGATGCTAGACTATTAAAAATAGTCACTGTGGCACGTGACCAAAAGAGATGTAAGATAGAGTATGAACAGAAATTCTGACAAGTCAATTTGTTTACTTACAAGGGTAGTAGAGGAGGGGATGGGAGGGGGAGGTGAAGCAACCTCGTTTCAACAAAGCGAGCAGAGAAGCTCTGGAACCGAGATTGGAGTTGAAGGGGGCATACTCCATCCATCTTATTTTAATAAAATATTTTAAAAAAATTAAAATTCAATCAAATTTCACTGCCCCCTTCAAAGAAAGCAGTTATCATATGCATTAAGCTTATTAAAATTTAACTAAGATTATATAAGCTTAAAAACTTTAAGCTCTTTAATATAGCTTAAGTTAACTTATCAAATAAAAATGAAAGTCTCAAACCTTGAGTAGTCTTCTTGGTCCTTTAAGCGATTTTCATCATCCTCTGCGCTAAATTACCCATTACCGCGTTACTTTTCTTGATTCAGTCGTGCATTTCCTCACTTCACGAGCCCTTCGATCGTAAGGCAAGCATTTATAGTCCATTTCTCTTGTAGAAATTCCGCAAGAACTCCAAGAACTCAACAAACATGGCTGTAGCATCGCGCGCGCGACCTCACATCCTTGACCTTATATGGAAACAAGCTTAGCCATATATGGTGTGAACGACGTGAATTTTGGCGCGCTTTTTTAGTGAAAAATTACGTAATCCTTTCTGCAGCATTTGAAATAGAAAAGTATTCTGTCTTAATATAAATATCAGTTAATATGGAAGACTGTAGGTTTTTTTTAATTTGGAGATCGACTCTCCTCCGGCCTCGAGTTGTAGTTTGAATTTTTACCACAGGGATACCAACTAGGACAAAAGCAAAATGGCTACTCTCGGATCGAAGTTTATACTACTTTTCTTTCTGTACTTTGCCCAAGGACTTCCATACGGCATTCAAACGAAGCTCATTCCAATATTACTACGATCTAATGCAGTTTCGTTGACAAAGGTGGGATTTTCTCGTATTCTCAGTTTGCCATGGCTTTTCAAAGTGTTCATAGCCAACTTCTTGAATCGATTTTCAACAATTTGGTTGTGGCTTGCCCTGTCATTCAGCGGCATGGCGCTTTGTTGTGGTTTGCCTGGTTTATTGGGAACAAATATAACGTTTGTGCTACTTTGTGGCGTGTTTGGTTTGAATGTAATGGCGGCTAGTCAAGATATCGCTGTAGATACACTAGCACTCAGAATTCTCGATTCATCTGATTTAGGTAAGGTGGAGGTAAGGGGTATTGTAGCTTGGATGACATACCTTAATTATGGGGCATGAGTCTGTTGTGTTAAAGGGTCACGGGGCAATGGGCATCCCTTATTTATGAGTTTTTATCTAT